AATCAATTAATATAGAATTAACTAACCCATTTAGTCATATTTTATTTATTAATCAATAGAATTACGAAGTATAACTGAATTCATTTAGTTTCATTTAGTTTAATCAAATTTAAAAAAAGTTCAATTATTTTTATTTTGTTAATTAATGTAGAATAAGAACTAACTAACCCATTTAGTCTTGTTTTGCTTAATAAATTAATAGAATTACTAACTAAATTCATTTAGTTTAATTAGATTTAAAATTTGTAACCAGTTAATTTATTCTTATTTTATTACATCAATTCATAAAATTAAAACTTATATCCAATTTATTAGTTATTTTGTTTAATCAATTAATTTGAATTTATAACAAATTCATTAACTCTAGTTTTGTTTAATTAATTAGTACAATTCAAATTTAGAAAACTTTCTTATATACTTTGAGGAATATCAATACATTTTATGAAAAAAAAAAACATATTTATGGTTAGTTTTTTTTAATGAATCACAGCATATTTTTTAATGAATAAAATCCTTTTTTCATTAAAAGGATATTTTTTGATATTTCACCTATTTAACAACTATGAATTATTATTTTAATACATAAGAAATCTTCTATATGTTTAACTGCAATTTCCTAACTATGCATTTTTCAATTAAATTTAAGAAACAATCAGCCTGATTTGAGGATCAAAACATTGAGACTCGTATATTTTAACGAATAGTGACATATATTATAGTGAACATATTTAAAGTCAAATCTTTTTAATGAATCATGGTATGTTTTTTTTTAATGAATTTAAAAATACGTTCTTTGAATACAAAAAATAACTTCTCAATAATCTATTTCTTCACTGGTATTTTTCTAATTACATATTATAAGATTTATTAAAAAAAAAAAAAAAAAATAAGTGTATTAAATAAGGAAATTTAATNAAAAAAAAAAAAAAAAATAGGCTGGAGTTTAACTCATATATTTTGACGAATAGTAAGAGCACAAATTATGAGAAAAACATATTTTTAACTGCCACATATTTCTTTTAAACCTGAAATCGGCATCATATTTTACAATAGACCTCTTTCCGAATAACATGGTGAATCTGATTGACCCCATCGTTAGAAAAAAAAAAAAAAAAAAAAANAAAAAAAAAAAAAAAACTCACTAGACTCGACGTGTATTTATGTAGCTGGACTTTCATAAATGTGATTCCCAATAAAAGAACGAAAGAAAAAAAAAACTAAATAAATAAATCATCCACACGATGTGTGTCAGATTCCGACAGGTCAATACGTTGTCGGCAGGAAAAGCAGATAAACCTTTAGGATGAGGTTCACTGCTCAACAACAAATGGACCCCTCTCTGTTTTTTTTTCTTTTTTGAATTTTTTGGGAGTTTTTAAGTAGGTATCTTTAAAGTTAGAGCACGTTTTTCTTTCTACCTGTGGGTTAATTTTCAGTTTCTATATTCATATACGGGACACTGGCATTATAATCCCCTGAAAAGAAAATTCCTACAGACGAAAAAGAAAAAAAAATTGATTTTAAAGTTTTATTGTTAATGTCCGAATTTTGGCGGCATTTGCATTTTTATACTCTTTTAGGGAGTTATAAAGATTTTTAATTTACTTTTTCAGCTGAGGGGATTTTTTAATTTTAGAACATTTCGTTATTTATGTCCTAGGGTATTTAGTTTAAATTTTAGGATTTTTTTTAGTGTTAAGTCATTTTTATGATATTTTTCTTTTTACCTTTAGGTTAATATTCAGTTTCTATGTTCATATACGGGACACTGGCATAATCTCCTGAAAAGAAAATTCTTACAGACAAACAAAATTGATTTTAAAGTTTTATTATTAATGTCCGGATTTTGATGGCATTTGCATTTTTATACTCTTTTAGGCAGTTTCAGAGATTTTTTTATGTACTTTTTCAACAGAGGGATTTTTTAATTTTAGGACACTTCGTTATGTATGTCCTATTGTATTTAGTTAACATTTATAGTATTTTTTAGTGTTTACTCATTTTTACAATATTTTTCTTTTTACCTATGGATTCATTTTCAGTTTCTATATTCATATACGGGACACTGGCAATATAATCTTTTTTTAATTAGTCTTACTCATTTTTATGATATTTTTCTTTTTATCTATGGATTAATTTTCAGTTTCTATATTCATATAAGGGACACTGGCATAATCTTCTTCTTCTTTTCTTTTTTTTTAGTGTTTAGTCATTTTTATGATATTTTTCTTTTAACCGATGAGTTCAGTTTCTATATTCCTATACGGGACACTGGCAATATAATCTCTTTTTTTTTAAGTGTTTAGTCATTTTTATGATATTTTTCTTTTAACCTATGGGTTCATTTTCAGTTTCTATATTCATATACGGGACACTGGCAATAAGAGATGAATAATGATAGAAAGATTTTACAGAGAAACAAAATTGATTTTACTATTAATATCCGGACTTAGATGGCTTTTGCATTTTTGGATTCTTTTAAGGATTTTTAGAATTTTTTTTATAAGTTTAACGTTTCTTTTAAAAAAATTTTAGGGCATTTCGTTACTTACGTCTTAGGGTATTTAGTTTATATTTTAGAATTGCTTTTAGTGTTAAGCAATTTTTATGAATTTTTTTATAATACTTTTCTTTTTACTATGGGTCAATTTTCAATTTTTTATATTTATGTACTGGGCACTAGCATAATAATCCCGTTTAGTAAATATTTATAAGAAATGGATTTAATAATAATTTGATTATTAATGTCATGATTTTTATGTCATTTCCTTTTTTGGAATGAAGGAATTTTTTTTGTTGAGATTTTTGGGATACTTTTTTTATTTTAGGAGTTTTCTTTTATTATCTTAGGAATTTTTTTAAAATATTTTTTTATTCAGGACATTTCGTTATTTACATCTTAGGGTATTTATTTTACATTTTAGAATTATTTTTCTGGTGTTAGTTTATTTTTTTATGATACTATTCCTTCTACGTGTCGGTTATTTTTTAATTTCTATATTTATATTAGGAATACTGGCATAATAATCCCCAGGAAAAAAGTTCTTATAGACAAAAAAAATCAACTCTAAATGTTTAGCATTAATGTTGGGATTTCGACGATAAATGTTTTTGTGTGGACTCTCTCTTTGTGGATTTTTTAGGTTATTAAAAAGCACTCTTTAAACATTATTATTCTTTAGGCTATTAAAAAACACTCTTTAATCATTATTATTCTTAGGTTATTAAAAACACTATTTAATAATTATTATTCTTTAGGTTATTAATAAATATAGTAAATATAATATTAGTAAATATATTTTTCTATTTTTTCATTCAAACTTTTTATTAGGTATGAAATATAAACTATATGTAATGTTACACTGACATTTAAGTATTAAAGATTAGTTAAAAGAACTTGTTTATTTAGTTTATTTCGCATTTTCATTCTTTCTGATCTGATATTCAGTTATTTAGAGAAAAAAAAACATATTAGTCCAGACAACAAAAATTAAAAAAATTGGATTAGTTTCGTTGTTGACTTATTTGAATTATTTTTGACGAAAAAAAGAAAAGAAAAATACGACGCATAATTTTAAATGAGCTTTTTAAGATACAAATAATTCTACTGAAATAGATTGCAGGTTAAGTGAGAAATATTTATTTCATAACATAGCCTACAGAAAATAAGAATTCAAATTTATCCTCTAGAAAATACGAATGCAAAAATTTCCTAAAGGAAATAAAAATGCGGATTTTACCTACAGAAAATATTAAATTTAACCTTATTCTATAAAATAGAAAATATGATTGCGCATTTTTCTTATACAAATTACGAATGCAGAATTTTTCTTTATAAAATGTGAAAGTAAATTATTTCTACATAAAATATGAATGCTGATCATTTTCATAGAGAAAAGTAATTGCGGATTTATTCCATTAAAATATGAATGCAGAATTTTTTTTGGCATCGAAAATATAAGTACCGCTTTATTCTATAGAAACAGAAATATAGATTTTTTTTTTTTTTTTTTTTTTTTTTTTTTTTTTTTTTTTTTTTTTTTTTTTTTTTTTTTTNTTAATGCATATTTATTTTATGTAAAATATAAATACATCTTTATTTCATAGAAAACATGCATGTAGATTTTCTTATAGAAAATATGAATGCAGCTTTATTTTATAAAAATTATGAATCGGGTTTTTCTTATATAAATATCAATGCATATTTATTTTATGTAAAATATAAATACATCTTTATTTCATAGAAAACATGCATGTAGATTTTCTTATAGAAAATATGAATGCAGCTTTATTTTATAAAAATTATGAATCGGGTTTTTCTTATATAAATATTAATGCATATTTATTTTATGTAAAATATAAATACATCTTTATTCCATAGAAAACATGCATGTAGATTTTCTTATAGAAAATATGAATGCTGCTTTATTTTATAAAAATTATGAATCGGGTTTTTCTTATATAAATATGAATGCATATTTATTTTATGGAAAATATAAATGCAGATATTTCTCTATACTTTAATATTCTATACTTTAATATTATATACTTTAGTATTCTATACTTTATTCTATACTTTAATATTCTATACTTTAATATTCTTTACTTTAATATTTTATACTTTAATATTCTATACTTTAATATTTTAACATTTTTTAAGAATGAAGGGTGAACTAAAATATTTGTACAAAAAGATTTCCACTTTCTGTGCTAGTCTTATGACATTTATTTTAAAGATGATTTTTACTGTTACCAAGGCTTCATTTTTTTATACATAACTTTAAATCCCCTGACCTACAAACACAAAATTCTCCAACCATGCTCATTAACCTCTTTAATTAGAAAATTATTTTCATTGTCCATCACCGTGATAAGGTGCGACGGAGTGATAACTTTACGAACGCCAGACAATAAAATCTCGCTAATTGGATGAACTCCTTTTTTTAAAAAAATTTGATTATAAATGATTTCTATTCCCAATCATTGTTCACTCTTGATCATCTCGAACGTCCCGTTACGGAACAATTGTTGGTTTATCAAATCGCCAATTGATCTGTCCAGACGAGTCTTCTCTTTCATCGACTATTTAAACAGTCGATTCTGTTTTCGTTCTTTAAATGGAACCTTTGCATTTATAAAACATTATATTGTGTGTTATCGAAGGGGTTTTTTTCCATGACAATTGAGTGGGTGAGGAGCATCTTTTCTAAGACCGGAATGTGAAGGTCTTTGGACATGGGCCATTGCACATAGGCTGGAATATTCAAGTGCCGTTTAGTTGCCTTTTTCTGTCTTAGGCAGGAATCCGGTTGGAAAGCGTGCAACTGCTACTGAACTGAGACATTCTCTTTTGGGCATCTCTATTAGCAGGTCAGCTATTCCTTTGTGTTGGTAATTATTATGAGAGAGATTCTAATTAAGTGTGTGTTTTCGAACAATCTGGCTTATTATAGCTCCGCTAAGTTTCTCATGCTCGTTAATAATTAACTAAAGCCCGGGAGATCTTTTTTTAATTTTATTTTACCTATTTGTTTGGAAACTTTTTTTATTATCAGTATGAGGAATTTTAGTAATTAGAAAAGATTTTTTAAAAATTCTGCTGTAAATTTTCGAACAATTCTTTCAAAAAGTGACATCTGAGTTTAAAAAGTATCAGTAGTAATTGTGAGTAGCATTTTTTTAGTGTAATATAGGTCGTTAGTACCAAAATGAGTAATTCTAGCAATAATACGTTACTTTTTTTATTAGAGTTTTTTTTAAAAAACTTTTCCAATAACTCCTTTATTCATTAATCATTAATGCAATTTTAGTAGTAAAAACTCCATAGAAGTAACGAGTAGTAATTTTTTCCGAGTTAAGAAAACTCATTAGTTGTAATGAGAATTTTTTATGAGTACTTGAAACACATTAATAATAGTGAATATTATAGTTTTTTTAAAAATATTTTTCAAATAACTCCTCTATTCATTAATCATTAATGCAATTTAAGTAGTAAAAATTTTATAGAAGTAAGGAGTAGTAATTTTTTCCGAGTTAAGAAAACTCATTAGTTGTAATGAGAATTTTTTATGAGTACTTGAAACATATTAATAATAGTGAATAATTTAAAATAGTGAATATAGTTTTTATAAAAATATTTTTCAAATAACTCCTCTATTCATTTATCATTAATGCAATTTTAAGTAGTAAAAACTCTATAGAAGTAACGAGTAGTAATTTTTTCGAGTTAAGAAAACTGAGAATTTTTTATGAGTACTTGAAACTCATTAATAATAGTGAATAATTTAGAATAGTGAATATTAGAGCTTTTTTTAAATATTTTCCAAATAATTCCTCTATTCATTAATCATTAATGCAATTTAACTAGTAAAAACTCTAAAGAAGTAGAGAGTAATTTTTTCCGAGTTAAGAAACTTATTAGTTGCAATAAGAATTTTTTATGAGTACTTGAAATTAATTAATAATAGTGAATATTTTGTGAATGTGCCTTGACTATTTTTAAAACATGTATTTTTAGAAGTAATAAAATGCGTTGGTTTTGTTTTTTAAAAAAAAATTCTAATTGTTAGGAATACCATGAAAACGTATAAGAGTGTTTTAAACTGGCTTTAATATATTTTGAGTGAGCAGTGGACATTTAAAATTATTTTCTTTCTGTTGCTAAAAATTTAATTTTTTTGTATGCTGACCATTCACATCTGATATATAAAATTAAAACAAAAATGTTAATTTAACATTTCGCCACGAATAAAGTTTAAAACAAATATTCTTCTAAATGCGTGTTTATTCAAATAAGAAAAATAATAATAATTTAAACTTTCACAGAAAAAATGTGCCACAAAGTGCTCTTTTTTATGTCTATAAAAATCTTTTTTAGTTGTAAATTTTGAATTATTTCATGTTTAACTTATTCTAACTAATATTTGTGATTAAAAAAATGGAAATTTTAAAAATAAAATTTTATATGTCTGGGATGTTTTTAATCACGCGTGATTAAAACAAGCTTATTAATTAATATTTTAATGCTTCAAGTGTTTTTTTAATGATACTCGGTATAAAAGGTATCTTGTATATGTATTATTAGCAAAAAAGGAAAGTTTTGAGCATCTATGCATAAGCATTAAAGATAAAAAAAGGACATTTTTAAAATTTTACAGGTGTCCCTTTACTGGTCATACATAAATGCCCCTTTATTGTCACATTTTTTTAATATTTCTGACCATCCCTTTTTTGTCACAAAGTGTCACTTATAACCATATCTCCTGTTTCCCTTGTCACATGTCACTCTATACTACTTATACTATGTGTTTTAATGACATTAATTATAACAAAAATATTTTTTACATAAGTGCTTGATAAAAATATTAGAAATAATGAAAATACTTTAACTGCTTGTTTTAATGTTTTAATTTTAAACAAAATGTGTGATGTCATGCTTTTTATTATTTCTACATACCACTTGTCAGAATTTGAAGAATTCCCTCTTTCCCCAAAGGCGTGACATTCTTTAAATAAACTTATTACTTATCGGTTTAATGAGGTTCCATATGTCATGTTATCAGTACATTACACAATCGCCCATAATACAATCGTACTTAATATTATAATACACAAAATTCATAATATCAATACATTATGTTTCTAATATATTAATGCATAAAATAGGAAATAATCTAAGGTTCTTAATTTTAAATACTGATAATTCTTTTTTTTTTATTAAATGAAATTTGTTTTTCAATATAAGAATTCCAATTAATGAAATTGTAGCAGACAGTCAAAATAGTAACAGACTGTAAGAATGATTTAAAACGTGACAGTTGATTTTCTTACTTGAGAAAATTTAATCAAAACTTAGATTTAGAGAGTAGCATTTTAATCATTCCCCGCCTTTCATTACCTGCATGACTCATGTTTAATTTATACTTTCACTTCTCGCCTTAACATTTCAAAACTTCTCCTTAGCGATAAAGATGAAGAGCAAAAACTAAAATAAGAACAGAGAACTTCCTAGTTGTCTGTTACATGCCTACTTTACTCTTATTTGACCATTGACCTCGCCCAGGTACGTGGGCAACTAGACATACCTGTCTTAATGCACATGTGTGTCTGTGCCAACAATGTCAATTGATACAGTACATAAATTAGTATAACATCGCGTTGATTTAGCGCTTCTGGATTGCAGCATTCTTTCTCGGAAATATCTATTTGATTAATGACGGGCCTAGGGAGAACATTCTTTAAAATTTTTCGGGTAGATTTAGATTTAATGTTCTTATTCAAAAGAAATCAAAGCAAACGTCTTCAATTGACGCTCAAAATATGCCATATAATTCTCATTGAGAAAATTTAAAAAGTTGTTTTGATTTAATGTTCTTATTCAAAAGAAACCAAAGCAAACATCTTCAAATGCCGTATTTTTTTTTTTTTTTTTTNTTTTTTTTTTTTTTTTGTCTACTATACATACTAATTTCTGTCCTATTCAGATTTCCATGTGCAAACAGAAAGAGTCAGAAACATTGTAAAATATTTCATTATTCAGTATTATTTTATATCAACTATTAATTTGGGTTTGTTTGTTTAATTGCAAATGACCGTGGGCAAACAAAAAGAAGGCAATAGCCCACATTGGGCTATCTGGCCAACTATGATGGTGTGTACTAACAAACTTGTTCAAAAATTTGATTTCAAACATTGATTTTTGTTGTATGTCAACTATTAGTGGCCTGTCTGAGGCTTTCCGAATATTTGCGCATAAAACTATCTTATTCCAAACATTCAATTTTTTGGTAACCTTTATTTTGTGCATACTAATAATACTAGTTTGTCTATTAAATTTCAAATATCTTTGTTCCAACACAAATATTAAATGTCTTCCAGAATTGTGTTTTCAGCAAATTTTGATTTTGTGCCAACTATTAATACAGATTTGTCCGTTCAATTCCAAATATCCGTGGTAAAATGTTTTTCAAACATTCAGTCTTTCGGTAAATTTTTACTGATGTTAAATATTAATACAGATTCGTCCGTTCCAAATATCCGTGTTTAAATGTGTTCCAAAAATTCAGTTTTTCAGTAAATTTTTACTGATGTTAATTATTAATACAGATTTGTCCGTTCAATTCCAAATATCCGTGTTTAAATGTGTTCCAAAGATTCAGTTTTTCAGTAAATTTTTACTGATGTTAATTATTAATACAGATTTGTCCGTTCAATTCCAAATATCCGTGTTTAAATGTCTTCCAAACATTCAGTCTTTTATTAAATTTTTACTGATGTTAAATATTGATATAGATTTGTCCGTTCTACTCCGTGTGCAACAAAAATAATCCTAAAAGTTTTAAAAGCATCTCAATTTTAACTTTAACTTTATATGGTTATAACTTTTATAATAACACAATAATATATAATATCTCAACCATCACGGTTGATAAAATGAGAACATAGCTATGTTTTTGTTGAGCAAATACTGGCTTTTGACCTTCCTTTACGTCAAATAATGTCCTTTCCTTTAGTGATTTCCCTCCTTTTGTATAAATTTTCGTTTGTTTTTGTGTAATTTTTTGCAAGATATTATAGACTGTGACTCTTATAAGGCGGCAAATATATAATAGTATTGCGAATTTCATTTAATCCGTGTGATATAATTTTACTCTGTTCTGAATTTTAAAAATGTATCCAACATTTCTTCTTTTTTTCATTTTATATATTTATCCAGTGAAGTGAAGCCTGTATGAAACTATTTGACAGGAAGGCTAAAGCCATGCAAATGGGTTTTCAAAAATATTGTAAGCTATGTGTTGGTTCTTTTGAATCCAAACTTTCATCACTATCTCCTGCAATAGCACGTTTCTTTTGTTCTTTTCTTCTATGATTGACCTCTGAAGTTTGGCCGCCTACAGCCCGTGACCATTAGAAAAAAAAAGGACGAATCCACCCTCCCAAAGTAGACCCTTTTGTCCGCGAGTCCGAAGCATGGACGACACGCAAGTGACACATTGCCTTTTTTTTTTATTACAAGATACGACTGTGACAAAAAAAAAACAAAAAAAATTCCCCCCAACAATAGCAATAATACTATCTTTTCGGATTCTCTCTATTTCTTGTATGAGTTACATCCTGCTTAAAGGGGAAAAAAATTGATGATCAAACTTAGGTTTTTATTTTATTTCATTTTTCTCTCGCTACTGTAGTGCCACTGACCACTCTTTCTTTTGGTCATGGCACTTATGGAAGCTGTAAGTGCCTCATTTGATAAGATTTGCCCGCCCCATGTTCTATTCTTAAGTGGCCAAATTCGTCTCGGTGAGTTTCTTTTCTATTTGGAGCATTTTCGCTTTTTTATGGTGCATACAGTTTAAATGGTAATTGCC